TACTATATATATATATATATATATATATATATATATATATATATATATATATATATATATATATATATATATATATATATATATATATATATATATATATATATACACGACATAACAGGATCAGATCTACAAGGCTGGCGGTAGTCCGCACGGCCATGTAGATCTAGATCTTAGCTTTGTACACCAGGTTATACTATGCAACGTATCATAGTTATGTTTAATGTTTCATCCTAAGTTTCGACTGTATGGTAACCTTTTACTCAAGCATGGGTGCTCATCGTAAACATCAATTGATAGCAGTTCTAACAAGGGTTTCAGACTGCCCCTAACCTCAAAACTGGGACTTACAATACCACATGCTCGCTATCATTGATATTTACAATTTACCATCACCTCGAAACCAAGTCAAAACTTGTGATGAAAGATTAAAGAACTATAATATGAATACATTATAACCTAATTAGATCCAGATATTAGATAAGAACATCATACAGAAATTATGAAGCTAGCATAGATATGAAAATAACTTAGCCGGCCATAGAGGCGGCAACCATGAAGAGATAATAAAAATAAAATAAAAATAAAATACCTTGAAGAGAATTCTTCACACCAAAGCTTAATATATTTCTTAAGAAGGTATATTACAAGAGAGAAGAGAGAAAACTAGAAAAACTGAACCTGCCTTATACCTCTAAATGAGGCTCATTATATAGGAAAATAAAAAACATAATGGGGTCCTCATATGGATCCTACATACTGTTTTAAACCGTTTAAAGATAAGATTCTTGATAAGATATTAAATCTTATCTTTTCCTTTAAGGTTCTTCTTGATTGTGCTTTCCTGCTCTTTCATTGAAGCTAGGAATTCTTCCACTTGTTGCAGCTGTCCTTCTGATAACTCGCAATTTTGATCTACAGACTGTTCATCGGCTGTATCGCTTTGACCACTTCTCATGGAAGTGTCTGACTTATCAAATTCAGCAATATCTGTTAACAAATTTCTTTTAATTTCGGCCAGATATTTATTTATCAATTCTTCTTTATTTCCTTCTTGTATGGAAATCCTTCTAGCAATATGTTTAACTGAGCCCTCTGCAGAAATATCTTTTTGAGGAATTTCTTGATAAATTTTTATAGTGCTGTTGATCTGATCCAAATTGTCCATATAATTTGCCTGAAGCTGGATCCTTACGATTTAATTTATCCCAGAAATTTGTAAAATATTTCCTGTATAAGCAAGGGATGTTTTCTGCTGGGGTATAACCCATTTCTGGGGTCCATTTATGGATCCAAGGGATAGAGAACTCAATGAAAAAATTACATCTGGTCAATTTTATCTATACAAGAAACATGATCTTGTAAAAATAGTTCTGTAATGAATGGGGAGACTTTTGCCCATTCCTTATAAAGATTGAAGAAATTATCTGGCAAAATCTTTACCGTTGGTCCATGGAAAGACCACCAGTTTAAAAACCAATTTGGTAAATCTTTTGTAAAAACTTTAGCACATATTTTCACAAACCATGTGTGCTTTTGTTTATAATTATTATAATAAAAAAACTTTATGAAAAGCTTGGATATAATCCCAGTAGGTAAAACTCATATTTACCCCATTTACCAAAACTTGTTTTTCCTGAAGGGTGAAAATTCCCCAATCGTCAGCTGATATAACTTGCTTGAACGTTATCTTGGAGAAATTATAAATAGTATTATCAAAATCGGCAAAGTGCTAGAATTCTGCACTTTTGGTATAACTGAGAATAGACTCATAATAAGATCGATACTTATATGTCTCTCCAGGAAAATATAATCCTTTCGTAAGATATCTCTGGAGTATATTCCAGGGTTCATTTCTCCTCTGAATATCAGAATTCTCTAAAAGAAATATAATTTCTTTTTTAGCCGTTTCTTTTGGATTACTGACTGGGTAAGTTTCTTTGGCTATGGAAGCAAAAGTATAACTTTGCTCTTTTGTTTACATATATGCTTGAATTTGTTCATATAATGAACTATCTTTTGCTTGCATATATGCGTTTTAACGTTTAACATACGAGCATCAAGGATATTCCTGTCAGATAAAGACAATTGCAAATTAGGTTGAGTATTGAAATATACTGGCCCATAAACAACCAGTAGATTCAATAGAACCCATAAGCGATTGTCTAAAATCTAAGTTTCTAGCATCTCTTAGAGCTGCTAAAAATGTTTCAGGTAATCCTTTAAGAGTCAACGGTTTAAAGGCAATCTGTACCATGCCGATATGCATCCAGTTAATCTGGATCTGTAAAGGTCAATATCCTTTTTGTTTAACAATTGAATAGTTTGTTCATCAGAATTTAAAGCAAGAGACTGCTCAGTAGTTTTAATCACCTGCTTAGTAGATAATTTATCAAACCAACCATAATCATAAATTAATCTGGTATCCACTTTAGGGATAGTCCACCTGTTTAACAAATCAAGATCTTGAGGTATATCTACCTCTTCTAATCTAGAACTTTTAATATTATTATTATCACCCCAGTTCATGAAAGTTTATAAAATTTTCATATCCATGCTTCACATCATAAGATCTATTACATGTTCTTAAAGAGTATCTGGCTCTGATACCATAACAGGATCGGATCTACAAGGCTGGCGGTAGTCCGCACGAATCTTATTATGAGTCTATTCTCAGTTATACCAAAAGTGCAGAATTCCAGCACTTTGCCGATTTTGATAATACTATTTATAATTTCTCCAAGATAACGTTCAAGCAAGTTATATCAGCTGACGATTGGGGAATTTGCACCCTTCAGGAAAAACAAGTTTTGGTAAATGGGGTAAATATGAGTTTTACCTACTGGGATTATATCCAAACTTTTCATAAAGTTTTTTATTATAATAATTATAAACAAAAGCACACATGGTTTGTGAAAAATATGTGCTAAAGTTTTTACAAAAGATTTACAGAATTGGTTTTTAAACTAGTGGTCTTTCCATGGACCAACGGTAAAGATTTTGCCTGATAATTCTTCAATCTTTATAAGGAATGGGCAAAAGTCTCCCCATTCATTACAAACTATTTTTACAAGATCATGTTTCTTGTATTGATTAAATTGACCAGATGTATTTTTTCATTGAGTTCTCTATCCCTTGAATCCATAAATGGACCCCAGAAATGGATTATACCGCAGCAGAAAACATCCCTTGCTTATACAGGAAATATTTTACAAATTTCTGGGATAAATTAAATCGTAAGGATCCAACTTCAGGCAAATTACATGGACAAGAGCTTTTGGATCAGATCAACAGTACTATAAAAATTTATCAAGAAATTCCTCAAAAAGATATTTCTGCAGAGGGCTCAGTTAAACATATTGCCAGAAGGATTTCCATACAAGAAGGAAATAAAGAAGAATCGATAAATAAGTATCTGGCCGAAATTAAAAGAAATTTGTTAACAGATATTGCTGAATTTGATAAGTCAGACACTTCCATGAGAAGTGGTCAAAGCGATACAGCCGATGAACAGTCTGTAGATCAAAATTGCGAGCAATCAGAAAGACAGCTGCAATAAGTGGAAGAATTCCTAGCTTCAATGAAAGAGCAGGAAAGCACAATCAAGAAGAACCTTAAAGGAAAAGATAAGATTTAATATCTTATCAAGAATCTTATCTTTAAACTGTTTAAAACAGTATGTAGGGCCCATATGAGGACCCCATTATGTTTTTTTATTTTCCTATATAATGAGCCTCATTTAGAGGTATAAGGCAGGTTCAGTTTTTCTAGTTTTCTCTCTTGTAATATACCTTCTTAAGAAATATATTCAGCTTTGGTGTGAAGAATTCCCTTCAAGGTATTTTATTTTATTTTTTATTATCTCTTCATGGTTGCCGCCTCTATGGCCGGCTAAGTTATTTTCATATCTATGCTAACTTCATAATTTATGTATGATGTTCTTATCTAATATCTGGATCTAATTAGGTTATAATGTATTCATATTATAGTTCTTTAATCTTTCATCACAAGTTTTGACTTGGTTTCGAGGTGGTGGTAAATTATAAATATCAATGATAGCGAGCATGTGGTATTGTAAGTCCCCGTTTTGAGGTTAGGGGCAGCCTGAAATCCTTGTTAGAACTGCTATTAATTGATGTTTACGATGAGCACCAATGCTGTATAACTGGGTAAGAAGAGTCGTATGACGACCTTGAAGATTGGTAAGAGGATGATCTTCCTCTTCCTCGGCTGTTCCTCTCTCCTCGGCCACGTATATGAGACCATGGAGGATCGTCTCCTCCTGCCATTCTGCAAAGTTGAGCAACTTCATTAGTAGCTGTCAAAATGTCCTTCAATATCATATTCCCAGATATCATCATTAAGGGAAACAGTTGAATAATCATGTAAAAAATCTTCCATGAGAAGTAAATCAAAGATTCTATCAATAATAGTTTCTTTTAAGTCAGCGTTTAAAGGTTGTAAGACTCTAAAAATAGTGATGAGAGTCTCGTTTCCCAGAACATAACTATAAGGAGACATCTTTCAGAAATTCTCTAGATAAGAAATCAGGGAGAGAGTTATCATTTCCCTTTTTATAATGAATCTCAAAATCAAAAGGCGCTAATTGTGCTGGCCATCTGGCAAACATTAATTTTGAGATATCGTGCTTGAAATCTTTATCAAACATATATTTGACTGACTGAGCATCAGTTCTGATAATAAATTTTTGATTATATAAATCATCCTGAAATTTTAATATACATTTAACCACACAAAGCATTTCGTGTGCCACAGTTGCATATTTCTGCTGTGAATCAGACCATTTGCCTGAATGAAATCGAACAAGATATTCAATTTTATCATGGGGATTTACTTGTTTAAGTATTCCTCCATAACCAATATTTGAAGCATCAGTTTCAATAATTTTAACCCAATTTGGATTAGCAAGAGAAAGGCAGGACAAATATTTAACTCTTTGCTTAATGGTTTTAACCAAATTAGTAAGATCATTACTCCAAGGTAAAATTCTTCCTTTCTTCAACCTATCTGTCAAAGGAGCAACATCTTTAGATAAATTTTTATAAAAAGGAGAAATATAATTTAAACTGCCCAAAAATCTTTGAACCATAGTTTTATCAGTAATTTCATCAGGAAATTTTGATGTAAAATCTATGGATCTCTGGATTGGAGTAATTCTCCCTTGGCAAATTTGATGACCCAAAAATCGCACATCCGTTTGAAAAAGACTCATTTTGGTTTTAGATATAACCAAACCATTTTGAATAACAATATTTTTAAAAATATCAAGATGCTTGATATGAGATTCTAATGTTTTAGAATAAACAAGGATGTCATCAATATAGACAATAATAAAATCCATATAAGGATTAAAAATATCATTCATAATTTTTTGAAATTCAGATGGAGCATTTTCTAAACCAAAAGGCATAACGTTCCATTCATATTGACCAAAGGAAACATTAAATGCAGTTTTATAAGTATGTTCTTTAAAAATCTGAATTTGCCAATAACCTGATTTTAAATCAAATTTAGAAAATATATTGGCATCATATAATCTTGATAAAAGATCTTTTTTATTAGGAATAGGATATCTAATCCATTTTAAAACTTTGTTTAAAGGTTTGTAATTTATTACTAACCTGGGAACACCTCTTTCTTGTTCTGCAGCTTTGTTCACATAAAATGCAGTACAAGACCATTGAGATTTAGAGGGTTTTATAAGTCCCTTTGCTAATAAATTATCAATTTCTTTTTTTTGCAGAAATCAACAAGTTCAGAATTCATTTGACAGGGGCGAGTTGTAGGAATATTTTCTTCATTAAAGGAATCCTCATAAGGCAGAGTTACAATATGCTTTTTCCTGTCCGAAAAAGCATTTGGATGATCTGCACAAATATCAGAAGCTATTTTGCCAGAAATTAGTTTAATTTTTTCTTGGACTTTAGGAGACTGTAAAGAATCAGAAATATTCAAACTGTAAATCTCCATTTGTAAAGACTCAATATGCTTTTGTTTTGAATGAATCAAAGAGTTAATATCCCTAGTAACTGGTTCAGTTATGAACTCAAAATTAATAGCATTACCTTTATAATTTGCTGTAAAACCTTTTGCATTTAAATTTGAAAAAGGATAAATAGCATTTATAAAAGGAGTGCCAAGTATAATTGGCGAGTTTAACTGATTTTTAACCAAGAAGAAAAAGTGAGGAATACAAACTTTACTTTGGCAAATGCAAGTATTAGACAATTTATATTTTATGTCTAAAGCATGATTAGATGCAGATTTAACAATATGAGTAGTTTTTTCAAAATATCTTGAAGGAACTAGTCCTTCTTGAATGCAGCTAACATCAACACCACCATCAATCATAGCAATACTAGTAATTTTAAAATCATTATTAATGAGAATGGTACAATTTATATACCAACGATGAGCAGTAACAATTTGAAGCATACCAAGAAATTTAACACTTGGTTCAGGGTCTTCATCATTTAAAACATTTTTCCCTTTTTCTGAAATAGAAATATCATCATCAGAAATATTATTTTCCAATTGGGAAATACGATGATTATTTATCAACTAGTTTTGTTTTAAAGATTTAATTTCTTTCTTAAGGTTTTCAACCTATAGCTTTAAATCATCCAAAGAAGTATCTCTAATAATACTTGGTCTTTTCTTTTCAAGTCTAGTAAAAACTTCTTGAATAGAATAAGGACTAGTATTAAAGTTTTCAAAAGGTTTTTCCTTCTTTGGTTTTTCAAAATCCTTTGAAGAAGTTGGTTTTGAAGAAGCCATATTTAAAATCTTGTTTCTAAGATTTTCATCTGAAACATCTTTTAAAAGTTCAATAATATTTTCTGAAGAAATCATTTTAAAAGATAAATCTTCAAAACTTTGATGTAATTTATCAATATAAGAATCTCCTATTTGAGACTGCAATCTATAAAATTCATCATGGCCACAAGTACAATTACCGTCTGGGCAATTAGAACAATTGTTGGAAATCTCAATATTTCCTTCCGAGGTATAACCTGAAGATTCTTCTGATTTATTAGAAGAATTAGAATCTGAATCTGATTCATAAAGTAACTCATATAATTTATCTTGCATTGGTTCATCCAATTTCAAAGCTTTGAACTTATCAGCTTTGCAGATATTTGCAAGATGACCAAATCGTCCACACTTATAACATTTAATGTTTTTCAAATCTCTTGTAGAAAAGTTTTTTGCAAATCTTGTTGCTTTCCTATATGATTTCTTTTCTTCTTTTTTCTCTTTATGATGTTTTGAACGATGACTTCTTTTATGATGTCTTTCTTTTTCATGATTCGTCTTTAGTTTAGACGATCCTTCTATACCAAACTGAGTACAGAAATCTCCTAATTGAGATCTTTCAGACTTTTGAGTCTTTTTTATCTGCTGAGCAAGTTTAAGCTCGTTGCAAAGATTTAATCCTTCTTGTGTACAAGTACCTATTAACTTTCCATAAGTTAATGTATTATAAGGAATTTCTAATTGATCCCCTCTTAAAACCTTTTTCACCCTTTCTGCAAATAAGGGTGGAAGACCATCAATGAATTTATTTTTCCAATACTCATATTTACTTTCAGGTAGTTCCATTACTCTACTCATGAAAGTATCTTTGTACCATCGAAAATGACCCAAATGTTTACACTTAAGTCCATTTAGAAGGGTTCTAATAGTCTCATTCTGGTTGGAAAATCTTCCATTAAAATGTTCCAAAATGGTTAAAACAAGTGTATAAACCGCATCTTCAACCTTATTAATTGAAGTCCTTTCTGCTGGTTGACCCTTTTCATCAGTACCAAACTCTCTTATAATTTCTTCTTTGTATGCATTCATAATTGCATGTCTTTCTTCAGGTGTTAGGAAATTATCCCACCATCCTCTTAATTGACCTGTAAAACCTGCTATAATCATTTTACAAATAGCATGGTCATTATTGTTATTTGTATGACGACAAATTGATGAGTACATCAATATACGATGTACCACAATTGATACCTGTCTTTCAGTTAGGGCATCAATATTCCATTCATATACCTCATTTCCACTGTAGGGTGTGTTAGTTTGATTCCAATCTCTTTCTTCAACTAGCACATCTTCAGGAGTAGGATGAGGATAATAATAAGTCATCATTGATGGAAGAGTTGCATATCCTCTTTTTCCTATAACCTTTTATTTCTGGTTATATCCAGACTTAAATCTTCTCGAATGAATTTCCGAATTATCTTGACCCATATTTTGAAGACTAGATAACTGATCAAAATAATCATTTTTAGGAAAATCATTAGAAATAGGTTTTGAACCTAAACCAGATAATTTCTTGTCAAGAAGATCTTCAACTTCTTTATAAAAAGATTTAACTTTAAAACCCGTTGTATCAATAGGTCGTTGAAGATGAGTAGGGACATTTAAAACAGTTTTTGAAGTAGAAGCTATATCTTCCTTAGGAATTTCTTGCAAATTTTTTACTAAAATAGTTAAATCATCTAATTTTTTATCCAAAGAACTGATATGCTCACCAAGGTTAAAGACTTAAATAATTATTTTGAGAAATAAGGTTATTAACCTCTTGAATAGTAATCTGGGCAACATCTGTTTCAATAAATTTTTTAAATGCTGAAAAAGTTATCCCAGTATTATTTGGTAAAATAAAAGGAGCTTGTGGAGGATAAAAAGCTTTAACAATAGCACTACCACTTTCTTTATAAGTTCTTTCAATAACATTAATATATACAGGTAAATAAGTAGTTATAAACCAAGGAACAAAATAAATAATTTTGTTATGTAATCTGCAAACATCATAAAAATCTTCAGAAATATTTTTTAAACCATTTTCACTATAAGTTTCAAAAAACCAAGTTCTAAACTGGTTCCATTTTCTTTTATAAAATTCTTTTTGAATATGTTTTCTTGCCAGGGATCCTGGACTAAAATCAATAAGTTGTGAAAACATAATTAAATATCATTAAGATCTGTTGCTTTATCAACACTGAAGTCCATTTCAGACTGAGTTGGATCCAAATCTGACAACTTATCTGTTGCTTGAACAATAATTGTTTTAGGGTCTATCCTTACCCTTTCAACCAATCCTTCACTCATAGTATCACATAGAGTGTGAAGAGACAAAGGTCTTCGCCTAGCAATTCCATAACTAGGACCTTCATTACTTACAGGAGAAATATGCTGAATTTCTGGTAACCTTCTGTAGCCAGAAAAAGATCTCCTGTTGTAAACTGGAGAATTATAAACAGAAGAGTTATCTGAAAACTCTATACATACCTTTCCATCAAGATTCTGGGAAATTTGGGAATAGTTACTATTAGTAACTTCTTCAGCAACCTGTCTTTGGGACACAGCATTGTTTAAAATCCATATTTCAGGAAAATTGATCTCATCCCATTTAATAGGCCTTCTTGTCGTAATTTTTGATTTAACAAAATTAGTTTCGACAAGGATAGTTTCACTAGATGAATCGTATAACTTACATCTAGGATTCAAAGTAGTTAACAACTTATAATAAATTCTATAAGAAAGGCATATAAGCTCAGATCCGACTGCATAGTTATATCCATGCGTTTTAACGTTTAACGTAAGAGCATCAAGGATATTCCTGTCAGATAAAGACAATTGCAAATTAGGTTGAGTATTGAAATATACTGACCCATAAGCAAT